ACGTCAGAAGCATCTTGTACGTAGGCCACCATTAAAAAAAAATGTTCCAGTGTCTTACCAGTACTACCTTCATTTACCTAGTTTTATTTTCCTCAAAGCATTTAATTTAATTCAAGACTAAAATCTCAGTAATTTTTATTTATTTTCTACCTGGCCCTATAGTGTTTGAGAGTTTAGTTTGAGCTGTCACATCTATCCACAGACTGAGATTCACAGCGGTTTGAGTTAATCAAATGTCTAATGCAGTTACTGACAAACTTTTTTGTAAAGGGCTGATAACAGATATTTCACTCTGCCTCTGTAGATCTAAGTAGCCATAGACATTATGTAAATTGAAGTGCTTAAAATATACCAGGTACAAAATCTAAATTTTTTATTTCATATAATTTTCATGGGTCATGAAATACAATTTTTTAATGCAGGGGTCCTACGAAATCCAGCTGCAGACTGGATTTCACCCGAGGACAACAGCCTGTGGACCAGGGGCGAATACGTTAATGAAAATTATTGGAGCTTCTCTCGTTCTTAGAAACAAGGTAACGTAACCAAAAGAGTATTTTAAAAATGAATACTTCTGAGGGTTATTCTTTCACTTCTGTTCTGTCTTACAAATTCTTATTGCCAGTGGTATTTAGGTTAAGTTTTAATCTTAATTCTTATCATTATAAAAACAGATGTAAATGGTACATCTCAGTTTATGGACTATCAATTGAATTGCTATTTTCTCCTCAAATGCTGTTACTCCTGTTGTGTTACCCTTCATGCATATGGGGGATAATCTTCTTTGATATGTAAGATTTCACTTCCAGCCTTTGTACTCACAGTCTTTTCAGTCACACCAACTTGTAGGCACTAACTACTCACATGGGCCCGATGCCATTCAATATGACTTAGGAATCATCCATTTTCTTTAGGGCAAATAAAAACTCCTCCCAAACTAACTTGAATTAACATCTGTCATGTGAGGTTACTAACCACTTCTTGTGCTATTCCGCTTACTGACCTATAAACTGAGCCTGATTTATTATCTTGTTCTCCCTAATATTTAGAACTTCATCGAGAAGCTCTTCCTCACCTTTGTTCTGTGAGGCCTCTCCCTTGAATTTTCTCAGGTTTCGTAAATGTCTTCAAGTCCCCAAACCTATTAGAACTGTCTCATGCATTTCTCGAAATATGTTACTTACTATAATCTTCGCCTGTTGGGGTCAATTTTTTTTTTGTTCATACTACGTAATAGCTTTCTTAATAGCAGTAGAAAACTGGAAATGATCTGGATGTACTTTAATGGGTAAAACAAACTGTTGTATCATAGAATGCTACTCAACAATAAGAAAAAAACAAACGTGATGTATTTAGTAATCTAGATGAATCTCCAAGAAATCATGGGGAGTGAATAAAAATCCCAAAAGTTGACATACAGTAAGGTTCCATTTACATAACATTCTTCAAATCACAAAATTGTAGAAAAAATTAGTGGTTTCCAGTGGAATGGAAGAGAGAGTGGGGAAGGACAACAGGAGGGACCCTTGTGATGACAGAAACGTTCTGGATCTTGACTGTTTCAATGCCCAGACCTTGTTTGTGATACTGCACTGTAGTTTTACAAGACGTTATCATGGGGAAAACTGGGCAAAGGTACATAGAATCTCTTTGTAATATTCCTTGCAACTGCAGGTGAAACTACAATGATTTCTAAAAGTTTAATTAACAAAACAGCTCAGCTTGAGACAAGCCGAACTATAAACTGAGATGGAGTTTTTTCATTCATATTAAGGGGATTATAGTAACAACTAAGGAGAAGTTTTAAAAATATATATAAAGTCATGAGATTCAAGAACACAAGGTCTTTTAATGATAAGTGGTAATTTATTGTAACTTCTACCAGCACTAAAACGGCTCAGGAACAACCAATGACTAACAGTTTCTAGAGGATTTATTCTCAAGGACTATGATGGCATTAAGTGCCTGGTAAGGGCACATTTGTAAAACCTGAAACCCATAAAGAACTGGCCCCCCAATGCAAACTAGACCCCCACTGAGAGACTCCTTGTTGGTGTCAAGCTCGAAGCTCCCTGGATGGTCTTCTCACAGAAGGGAGCTGCAGAAGGGCCTTTCAGCACTTATATGGGAGCCAACTGAGCTTCATTTTGATGGCAGCAATAAAAACTACCAGCTTTTACTTTTTGTAATCATTCTCAATTAGAGCCGTGATTCCCAATTAGCTGCTACTATTACCATTTACTCCATAACCACATACAAAATCCAGAACTTCCTTTAATCTGCCTGTAGCCAAGTTTCTGAAAATATATGCCCAATAGAAGTGGGATATCACTATGACTCATTAGACATTGGCAGACATTTTCAGACATAAAACTCATTTTCTTTTTCCATTTTTCATATTTTTCTTCCTGTCTCTGTACCTCTCCCTCCTCTCAACTTGTTTTTGGTGATAAGTATGTTTAGTACCTTGATTGCGGTGATGATGGTATCACCAGCATGTACACATCTCCAAATGATCAAAATGCATACATTCAATATGTGCATTTTTATATCAATTTTATCTCTTCTAAACTTTTTTTTAAAAGAGATGATATGCCCATTCATAAAAGCCATTGCCTCAAAGTGATATGAATCATTTTTAGAATTAGTCAATGGCCACAACTAGAAGTGATAAAGTCTGGGCAATGTAATTTCTGACTGCCAGCCACCATCCAACAACTGAGGGAACACAAATTGTATTGCCTTGTGGCACAGAGAAGGCCCCAAATGAACCACGTCACACAGTATTCGTGCCTTTGGGTAGCCCCTTCTGATAGCGAAGGTGAATTTCCTTCTACCTTACTTTAATCCGTAGAATACAGCAGAATGACCGTGTGCCTATTCTGGAACAAAAGCTGCTTTTTTCTTTTTTAAATTTCTGATTAATATGAGGATACAAACCACTAGGTCACATAAGTTTGCACATGTAAAGTGCAAGTTGCAACTGTGTCTTTCTCCCAGGGAGTGTGCCATACATACACGCATTGACCTGCTGGGTGGGACTCCACGGAACCCCTCCCGTTTCTTATATTTAACTCTCATGCGGGTCTGTTAATTATTCATTTCTTAGTGTCAAATTGGTCCCCTCTACTCTTAATCTAGGAAACTCTAGGAATATCACTGACTTCACAATAATCTCATCCTGGATTGTTGTTCTAAAGGCTCCTTCCAGAGGAAACTCAACTGCCTCCTTTCAGGTATCTAAATTAGAAAACCAAGGATTTATTAAAAAGAGCTTCCCTATCTTAGTATTCTAATGAACATTAAATGTAGCATAAATTAGTTTTTAAACATGCATACATTGAAAAATAAAAGAAAACAAGTCTCCTGATAGAAGCAGAGGCGCTTGGATACAGGAGTATTTAAGCCTCGTGCCCAAATTATCTACAGATTAAGATAGTTCTTCTGACTTTACAGGGCTACAACGTGCTCTTCATCATGTGTTTGCCTTACTTATTAATGTAAACTCATGTAAATCAGAGATTATTAAAAAGTTTTCCATTTTGAAAGTGAACATTTTGTAATTAATCTGAGATGATTCCTTGTAGGAATCATTACCAATTTTTAAATGAAAATAATCACAATAATACTTAGTATCTTCTAAATTTGCCTGAAGTAGCCATCAACAACGATAGAAACACTTAGAAGGCTTGTTTTGTCAAACTCTTCTTCCAAGTAACCTCAGTGAGTGAGGTGGTAAGAATGTTAAATTTTCAGTAATAACTATTACCAAAAATAATCGTATGTTGAATAATGCAGTGATATTGTTGATTAATAAATAATGTTGCAATGAAGAAACCCTCTGAAAAGTCATTCAGCATAGAGAAGGGTTGTAAAATTTGTTCTTCTCAGTTGATTGGCTACCAAGGTGGCACACAATTGCATTCTCTCAGCTGGAGGGTTTTTAGCAATTGATCTGGGTCTTCTGTGATATATATCCATTCCCCCTTCCAATATTGACACCTTAGATAATGATATAAGGGATGGCTACACATCTTTGGTTATAAAGTCATTACTATAAGAAAAATTCCTATTCGCTATTGCTCAACACTTTCTGTAAATAATAAGACCTTTTATATAAGACATTCACTACAGGCTACCCTAAATTCAAGTGTATATTATATTCAGGAAAAAAAATGATAATATTAAATCAGGATATGAAGGATGAAGTATCTTTTACCTAGTTTAAAAATTAGTAATCTATTCTTAATTTTCTTTTTTGTTATTTCTCATGTCCCAGCTAATCCAAGAATGCAGAGAAAGTATTTTGATTTAAATACGTATTATAAAATAATATAAATAAAAAATACATCCACACACATGCACACATATTTGAAGATATAAACATACACACACACACATAATCACAGAAGAGGGAGAGGAGAGAGAGTTGTGTACCAACACAGAGAAGTTTATATAACAGAAATGTTACCTTCCATTTACAGTGTGTTTTTGAATTTACAAAAACTTTCCATTTTATTTTCTCATTTAGTGTTTTCATCTAAACTGTGTGGATTTTTTTTTTTAGATATTGAATAGAATCATGAAGATTGAGTTATATGTCCAACATAACCCAGCTAGTGAAATGACAGTATTTTAACCCTTCTGGTTTTCTGATTCTCTGCACCTAAAGGCTCATAATACCACATACACGCAGCCATACATGTTGAATATACACACTAAGAACTGTATCACTGCATGCCCTATGTTCTTCTCTCTATCTCTTAATATATATAGTAGAGCACTTACTAATAAGCACAAAATAATCCTACCCTGCCTAATTATTATACCTGGGGTTGGGGGGAGGAGTGAAGACTTGGTACAGATGATGTTTGTTCATGATCTATTGACTATCACTTACCTTTTTAGAGTTGAGATCTACTTATGACATAAGATAAATCAATTAGGAGATGGTGGCTTAAGATAAACATGCCAAAACAACTGTATGAGAAAACAATTACCTTAATAACAGATGTTTCAACTCTGGATGGGGGACTCTGAACTTGTGCTGCTGCCGCCATATTTGCAATGGTGCTGAGATGGTTCATCTGGCTCATTGCCATGGTGACAGATGCTGGAGGTAGGCTGACAGGAATTAGAGGGTGGGGCATCATCATAAAAGGAAGTTCCAGTCCTATAAAAAAAATACACATATATCAACATTGCTCTGTTCCAAATAAAACTATGGATTGTGATTCTATCTCACTTATACAAAGTCATTAAGGATAGAAATCATTAAAAATGCAAACATTCAAAAGTGCTCCAATGAGGCAGTCTAGGAAAAAATAGTATTCCTCCTGGCATGCACTGTCACCACTCAGGGAAGTTACGCTTATAGAGCTGTTTAGTTTGGTGCCATGGTTTAATCATATCACCACTCTTCATGTTTTTAAATACAAATGGCCAGTTCTTCCTGTACTATTCCTCTAATTAGCCTAAATCTTGTTTAAAATTTATCCTGATTAGTTATCTAAATATACTCTAGCTCTTTGTCATGTCCTATTTTACCAATCTCATAATTATAGATTTTTTTGAAAACTATCAATATTTTGTACTCAAAAATTCTGTTGTACAATTTGGCAGAGATTGTACTCTGCTGAAGATGGCTGAAAGGATGACAAACTGGTAGGCTGTGTGCCCCAGGCATGCGGAGATGGGTAACAGAAGCCTGAGGTCGCTGGGACCGGGAAGAGTACGGTGCTCCTTTATCCCAAGAGTCATCACTGCTGCTGGTGGGGAATAAATACTAATCATTTGGATATATTATTCCAGATTTTCTAATGACTAATTTGAAATGAAGTTTAAAAATATGTATCACATTTGAAGATTGGCAAAGTAATTTCTAGGGGAATAAATAAGCTGAAGTAAGTCAATTTCCACCAAAATTAATTTTCTTTTTGATTTTCCATTTGTTTCATAGGATCTTAAAGGTAATATTTGTGTAACTTTTAACCTATTTGTGGAATCTAATCCTGCTGACTACCCAACTTAATGTTAAATGGGTTCTACACATATAATGTAATTAGATATTAATTATTCCTGGGAAATAAAGCATATTAATGGTTATAGAATGCAAAGTTGTCCTTGTAGTAAATGGTATTCTAGTCTCTGTTTAGAGTTAAAATGTCTAATATTTCCATAGCAAATCCTAAAAAGGGAACCATTCAAATGCCCAGGTTGTTAGACATTGTACAGAATACACACACACACACACACACACAAAGCTTTACGAAAGCTTTATGCTTTTACGAAGCTTTAAAAGCTTTACGAAAGCTTTTAATAATGCTACAGCAAAAAATTAAATATGCATAATATGTGTGTGAATAAATACTTCGCTTGTTTTCAAACAAAGAAAAAATAAATGTATGATTGTCTCAAAATTGGTGCCAAAATCAAAATCGCACATCTGAAGGCTTACATTGCAATATTGGTAGCCTTGGATTTAACTAGACCTTGAAACATCGTCATACAATATTCCTTAGAAGGTGCTTATATAAATTCTTTCAGTTTAGACCTTCCCCCGAATCAAATTACCTTAACATTAATTTGTTCCTTAACTCAATCTGTTGACTATACAAACTATCCACTTAAATAAAATTTCTGTAATATCCTTGTCAGCTTATGAGATTTTTATTTCTCAAAAAAAAAGAAGCCATATTTTCATATAATATGCATGGAAACAGCAAAGTTGGTAAAACTCCAATTTAATGCTTTAGCTGTGCTAAAAGCCTCATTGTAAAATCTCTACGACATAGTTTTTAATGAAGAATACTTAGTTACTGCCATGATTTTTTTCCATTTACTTCATGAAGACAGTTAAGGTTCAATATAAATTCAAACTCATTAGCTCAATACTGTCTGGATCTTAGAGTAAATTGTTCAGAAGTGGGTAATGAAAACTCAATTCAAATTCTTCAGCAATCAAACAAAGCAATTTTATTAAACAATGAAAAGAATCAATTAAAATGGATATCTTTATTATCTTTATTATTTTACAAGAAACTGTGACAGCTTTTGGTTAAAAAAAAAGTTTATAGCTTCATGCAGAAATGACTCACATAAAAGAAATTTCTCGAGCTTGCTTCTACATTGTAATAGAAAAGTTCACTTTCACGTTCACAGGTATATACATACTATTTCTCTACTCATGACTTTCCTGACACTTTTCCCAAGGTACTAGTCAAACATGTAAAAATTGTACAATTATGAATTTTCCTAATGCCTGATGTCACGAGAATATTATGATAAAACTTTTTAAACATCTTCCCTTTACATTGTTTTTATCAAGCTACCTATAAATTTTTTCATCACATATTTACTCCATAAAATCTGGGAATGTTGATCTAGTCAAACTTCATGTTTCAGCCTCAGTTTCACGTTTTATCTTATCTGTTTAAGCAAAAATTGATAATTTAAATGTAGAAAAAGAAATAAATTTGAAACAAAATTATCTTAATGTGAGAACTGCTTTGGAAACGTATAAATAATAGGCAATTTTATTTATTTATTTATTTATTTATCTATCTATCTATCATTTATCTATTAGAGAGGGTACAATCTGTCTCTCTGGTTGGAGTCCAAGTGCAGGATAATAGCCCAGTGTAACCTGGAATTCCAGAGCTTAAGTGATCCTCTTGCCTCAACCTGCACAGTAGCTGGTACTATAGGTACCCAATACCATGCTTGGCTAATTTAGTTTTGCTTTAGAGATGGGGTCTTGCCATATTGCCCAGGCTGATCTTGAACTTTTGGCCTCAAATGAACCTCCCACTTCAGCCTCCCAACATATTAAGATTTCTGGTGTGAAGCTCCACTCCCAGCCTCATAATTTTCTCTATATTTTATACTTCTTTTAAAATATCCCCCAAAATTAAGGATTACATTCTCATTGCATATTTGAGGATAATTAACATATAAGTTAAATACATTTATTATTTTGGACTCCCTTTCAGTTCCATTTTTACCTATAATCTAGTTTTGTTTTTTCTGTTCATCTGAACTAATTTCTTCTCTCATTAGAATCCTGATTGTAGGTTCAATAATGGGAAGTAGTTATTTTTTCAAAATTATTTATGTCTCACCCTCCTATCAGAAGAGGTGCACCTAATTCTATTTTTCACAGTATTAAGGCATAAAATATCAAGCCAAAATCTTATTAAATCACTCTGAAAACAGACTGTAGAGAAAGCACTAGCCATTTTCCCATCTTTTTTGTGTCACAAGATAACAATCCCTTGTGTATGAGTGAAGATCAATCATTTATATGTGAGTTTTTCCTAGCAAGTTTCTAATATTAGATTGGATGTTCTCCCTATACAGGATGCTCCTAGCAATCTCTACCAATCATCATTTGTTAACTACTCATGATGTTAGCTCACTTTGGTAATAAATAGAGCAAACAATTAAGAAACTAAGTCGGATAAAAAATATACAACATATAACCAAGTTGGCTGTAAGTGATTTTTGCATTATTTATAATGCCCTTTTCCTCTATTATCATAAACAAATAAGAATTGAAAATAGGCCACTTGCCATGTCCATAGTTATTAAACATATACTTTCTGGTTTTGTTTTAAGCCAAAATATATCACCATATATGCCAGTCTATATGGACTATGCCCCCCCCCTTAAAGGTACACACATATAAACCTTTAAGATAAAGGCTCACTATTAACACTTCAAAGACTGTAGCAGATTTACTATATAAGAACATTTATCATATAGTAAACACTGGAAAACGAACTACTAAGCCATTGGAGGGGGGGATAGAAACATAAAAAAAAACTGATTTATTTCTCCTCCTCCAGTCTTGTCGAACTATATTGGTTTTTTTTTAACTTTACAGTATAATAAAAGATGAATCTTGTATGACCGTAGTTGCCTCAAAGTACATATTCCATAATAGGGAGTTGAGGTGTGTATGCAAAACCTCATCAAGGGTGATAAAAACATAAAATGGGAAAAGCTAAGGAGAATAGTCCTGAGATCACAAAAACACTCAATGCATAAAGCTATATGATTATTCAGAACCTAAAGCACATGTTCATGGGGAGGGGGCATAAGTGTGGGGGGAGCTCTCATTCCTAGCCCTAGACACACACAGGGAGGACGCCCTGGACAGGCTTCAGGACAGACAACTCCAGGGGTAAGCACACCTCTACTGTAGACTTGGAGGACACGTAGGCAGTGGTGATACGGTGGAATCAAGTGATGAAGCCACTAATATCCCAGCATGACTTCAGTGGAATAAAATTGAACAGGCCCTTTTGCAACAGCCAGAAATGGGGTGCAAGAGTGCGAAAAGGGAAATAAAGCTTCCCATCCGAGAGCCGATTTTGTCTCTGGCTGAACACTATTAACCAAATACTTCTATAGCCTGAAACAATTGACTTACCCTGCCTGATTATACTGTTATAAAGAATATATCAATAATTAAATTTTCTAAAATATACATATATTAAAAAGGGTGTGTATGTAGTTTTCCTTTCATGTCCAAGATGTGTGTATGTCAGGCACAAGCCAGCTTTCCTTAAGATTCAGTGTCAGGGACCATGGATGGGAGAGACTCTCCTGCCTTAGTGTCTCCCACCTCAACATTAAGACAGAGATACCGATTCTGAAAAGCCAGGGGCTTCATGTGCTATCACGCTCTTTCATGAGCTCAGACTGTTTTCGTCGGATTACCCCCATTTTATATTTTTTGTATTTTATAATACGTGTTTTATGATTGATCAGGTTTTAAGTACACAAATATATCCCTACATTTTGAAGTAGCCGTCCCTACTTTTAGGATGCTAGATCACCGAAAAGTACGTAATGGTGGGTTGCAAATGTAAAATGGTTTCACTTTTCCTTGAATTACTGCTTCCAAACATACTTTGTCAAAGTTCTCTTTTCTATCTCTCTCTCTTTTGGAGACAGAGTCTCACTTTGTTGTCCTGGGTAGAACACCACAGTGTCACAGCTCAAGCAACCTCAAACTCTTGGGCTCTGAGCCTCCTGAGCACCTAGGACTTGGGGCGCTCGCCACCGTGGCTGCCTAGTTTTCCTATTGTTCTTTTATTTTAGTAGCAACGGGATTCTCTCTATGGCTCAGGCTAGTCTTGAACACCTGAGCTCAGGCAATCTGCCCAC